TGTGTATCGTTGCACCCCTAATTCCTTGTTCTTTGAAGGGATTTACTATAAAGACAATCAATCCTGTTGATCAATATAGTTCTTTCTGCCTGAAAGAGTCAGTGCCCTTTACTGATGCAATGTTAATGGAGTTTCATTTCCACAGGGATTTCTGGAGTTAAACCTTATGTTGCTAAAATAGACTGTACTCTCAAACAGAGTATCACCTGTGCATAAACAGCCCTGCAAGTGTTAGGCATGTACCTTTTAATGTCAACTGCTTTACACAGCAGCCTTCTGGTGCTTTGGTTCAGATTGTGGGTGTTTGTTAATAATGGCTTTAGGTTTGTTGCAGACGTTTAATTTCGTTTCTTTCTTCTTCTTTTTTTTTTTTCATAATCCTGAAGTATGGAGGGGTCCATCGTACGCCTGCCGGAGGTCATAGCTCTGAAGAAGCGCTACAAGGCCTACCTGTACCTGGACGAGGCTCACAGTATCGGCGCCCTGGGCCCTAATGGCAGGGGGGTGGTGGACTACTTTGGCCTGGATTCCAAAGATGTTGACATCATGATGGGAACATTCACCAAAAGCTTTGGGGCTGCTGGGGGATATATTGGAGGCAAAAAGGTTAGTGAACTGCTGACAGTGTTCAGAAGGTTAAGTCTAGTCTGTGCAATGTGACGTAGTCAAAGCAATGGTTCTTGGTTATTACAGTATTGAGACACTTACTCATAGTCAATAGATTGAGTAGTTTCCTAACTCCTAAAATTGCTAAATTCAGTGTTGGCCAACAGTGTTTACTGGTAAAGTGGAATTCAGCTTCCTGTTTTACAAGATAGGATCTGATTGAGTGCATGCTTTCATTTTGAGCAAGAAATGACAGTTTGAAAAACTCAAGTATGACATGTTTAAAAATAAATAAATAAATCATGTCCCAACTGTCCTAGTGATACTTTTTTTTTTTTCCCACCCTCACTTTAATTGCATTCTGTCAGGAGCTGATTGACTATCTGCGCCGCCACTCTCATAGCGCCATGTACGCCACCTCTATGTCCCCTCCTGTGGCCCAGCAGATAATCACCTCTATGAAGATCATCATGGGAGAAGATGGGACCACACTGGGTAGGTGAAAAACTGCTGTAGACGGTGTTTTTATCCATAAACGGTTTCTGATAACTGCTTATTTATTGTTGTGCAGAAACATTTTGGTGGTCAAATTGCAAATAGAAGTTTTGTTAATTAGCTTTTGTTAAAGTTGAATCTTTAAAATTTTAATTACAAATGATTTTTGGTTTGGTTTGGGGTTTTTTTTTTTTGTTTGTTTGTTTGTTTTCCCCCTGCAGTTTTGTTTTGGTTGCAACACTTAAGAAATCACTGAAATGTTAACCTCGTGTTTGTGGTCAGTTTTCCTGCTATTATTTGACATAACCACAAGATGGCAGTATAGACCAGTCATTCAGATGTTATTCTGCAGACTTATTGGTGGGTTATTGGATGCAAAGTTACTATGGTATTCCTTTTATTTAATTTCTAATCAACTTTGCCAGCTTTTCTACTCCTTCATACGGTCTATATTTTATCACAGCTAAGAGATAAAAGCCAGTGTTATTAGCTAACTGGTAAATATTTACCTATACATAAAGGTGCATGTGTGTGTGTTACAGCTTTCTGGGTATGCTGTAAATGCCGCACAGGTACATGCCCATATTATATAAGAAACAATCTGACAGTGTCACATGTGACTGCAGCATGGGGTGCAAAGTTTAGTACAAGTCACTTCTGATTTTGATTTCTAAATATGTTTAAAAACTGTTGGCTTACTGATGATGGAGTTTTAGGCTCAGAACTTTATCAGGGACTGAGAAATGCAGTTGTTTTTTAAGTATCAGACACACATAGATTTGTTGTCCATGGTACTACGTGTTATAAACATTGAGATTGGAGCGCACTCTGCTGGACAAAGCATGTGATGAGACCAGATTACTTCAGGCACTTTTTTTCTGCATTATGTTCTCTTTAAAAATAATGAGAACAAGTCTTGGCTCGAGGAAGGTGGCTATCTGCTGCAACACGCTGAGTTAATAATAAGCTCACCTACAACGTTGATTCTAAACGAACTCTTCCCAAGCCCAGTTGCATATTTGACAACATATACACTGACAGCAATATATCTGTGTTGGTCTGACGTTAGCTGAGAACATTTGGCAAACCAACATATGTTGGTCAGGCTCTGAACTTTGTGTGATTGTGCCTCTTCCATTTGGTTGTTAACGGTTCCTTTCTTTTGTCCAGTTCAGTCCAGGCTGATGGAAGGCTTTATTCTGCCCCTCCCCTCTCCCCCTTTATGGCTTTCAGATGTGTGTTTCTTTGTATATGTTTGTGCTCCTTCACGCTGTGGGTACAAAGCAGCATGGTGCTCGCGACCAGAGGTCTGTGCAGATCAAACTCTGCTGGACTCTCCTACACACACACAAATAGATGATAGGGTCTTGTTTTCTTGCAGGGTGGGACCCCTTTACTCTTCACAGGGCTCGACTGACTTGGAGTTCCAAAAAATGCTGATATAAGATGAAATGAAACTCATTAGGCATAGAAATAAACATCTGGTGTTAACCTTTGTTGCTGTCTTTCTACAGTGTCATCAACTTTTCCTGTAAGTTAGTCTGAGAGGAGCAGGCCAGACCAGCTGACCTTGCAGCATTGCAGCAGTAACTATTACGGTTTGATTGGTTGCAGCCCCGTCAGCGCTCGAAATGAAACCCTTTGAAGATCCAGGCGCTGACACAAAGTCAGAGTGACATTTGAGCCGCCTGCAAAACTGTTGTTGTTGCTGAAAGCCTGTAAGCTTATATTAATCAAATATACGTAGACGACCTAAAAGCAGACAAAGCTTTCATCCGTATACAAAGAAGGTTTAAGAATCTTCCATTCTTCTGTGGATACCTTTGGATCCCTTGACTGGAAAAGAAGCATGTGGTTAAGTGTAATGTCAGACTTTGTTGTGTCTCTTCGTGCTCTGAAGCTGCTGTTTCTGCTCCATTTTTGAGCACAGCCAGGCAGATGTGTGTTGCTCTTGGCGCTTTGTGCCTTACGGTTATTTGTTGGGTTACGATGCTATCTCTGGAGGCTCAGACAGACTCAGTGAGTGAATCCACAACATGTATCAGGTTGACACATGATTGATGTCGACCTCTTGACCATAAAATATTAGAGTTCTGTTTGACTTCAAAGCTAGTCTTCAAATAACTAGAAGGCTGGAAACAATGTGGCCCTCTTGAGAGTTTTGTACTTTTGTTTGTTTGTTTGTTTTTATTGACATGGTTTTGCTGTTAGAACCACAACTGCGTATTTCACTTTGGATCAGTTGTGCTCAAAAGCGAGCTAATGGAGGAATAAAGACGTCATGAGTGGTGGTGGGAGGGGTCTCTGTAAAGTACACACTGTTTTCTCCACTTGGCTGCAGAAAAAGGGCAGATAATGAAATTTTACGAAGCTTACAAGCACCAGTAACCAGAACGGTGTGGTTTAAAGGAGCAGCACACCCTCACAGGTGCTTTCACTCTGGCTGATTAGACGTCTGCTCAGGTTGTCTGGAATGCGTGAGATCACTGAAGTTCATGTACTAATAAAGTGCCATAAAAGTGTACGTTTTTCTGTTCTGACAGGTGCAATGGGGAGTGAGGGGTGGGGGGGATGCCAATCAGGAACAATTTGTACTGAAAAGGGCTTATCAGGCAGATTTAGTGAAAACACCTGTGTGGTTGCACCATTGATGTGGAGGGGCTTTAATCAAGGCCAGGAGACGTTACTTGGTAAATACTTGAGGTCTCCAATTGCAAAAAAAGTTAACTTAATAGAGATTATAATATTTAATTTGACAAAAATGCAAAGAATCAGTTGATACTTCTTCAAGAGGAAGAAATCTCAGGGAGTAAAGAGAGTAAACTGACTCAAAAGATTGAATCAAAATTGTGAATAACTCCTCTGAAGCCCAGTTGGATCTCCGTCTACCTTTTCCAGGTGCCGATCGCCTCCGACAGCTTTCACAGAACACCACCTACTTCCGCAGAAGACTGCACGAAATGGGCTTTATCATCTATGGCAACGACGACTCCCCCGTTGTACCGCTGATGCTCTACATGCCGGCCAAGATCGGGTGTGTTTTTTATTTTGTTTGTTTTGGTTTTTTCGGGGTATAGCTGCACAAGAGCATGTGCTCAGTTTTTAATATAACCTTTTACTTAATGAGAACATTAATCGTAGATCCATCGTATGAATAGCAGCACACTGCTCTTTGTCTAAGTTTCCTTTGCTCATCAGCGCCTTCGGTCGGGAGATGCTGAAGAGGAACATCGGCACGGTGGTCGTCGGCTTTCCCGCGACGCCCATCATCGAATCCAGAGCGCGCTTCTGTGTATCAGCCGCTCACACCAGAGAGATGCTCGATACAGTAAGTCCCATTTCTAACATTCTCCTTTTACTAATAGCAAAAGCCTTTTACCAGTGTCGACTGATGAAACACAAAAGTTTACTTTTATCTTCTTTTCTCCGCCCCCACACATACTTACAGCATGGGCTGTTTTTCCTCTAAAAGTTAATCGTATCTGTGTGCACATGGAAGCAGAATTGGTGCAAAACTGAGTTGAAAATATTGTTCACTCTTTTAAAAACAGTTTGAAATGTTGCTTTGTAAAGTAAAGTCACTTCCCTCATTGTAGTGCTGCCCCTTCTGATCTGCAGCTTCCAGTAAGTTCTTAAATATCATCAAAGTCATAAAGAGAGGGGCACATCTGATCTCTTCTAAGTGGTCTCTTCAAGAGTTGTTGTTACAGGATAGACTATTCGATTGCTGAAGACTTAATTTTATCCTCAATGTGATTTAAGAGTTTGTTTTGATCCGCTGTGGGTGATCATGGATTCCTGCACTTTTAATCAACCAGCCTGCCTGACCGCTGACTGACAGCTTTCTGTGCCTTGCGTTCGAGTCCATGTATGTGTGAGCGTGCCTGTCGAATAATAAATGCTTCCAATATGTCCTTTTATTTTGAAGGAACCTAGAAGGGCCAAGCTGTCTCTAAAGATTACAGCGTGACTCAGGCAGAGACTTTTATTTGAGCTGCTCTGTCTCTCCAAAGACACTTCATTCATCTTGCTGGGAAGCTTGTCAACACCATTTGTAATAGTCCGTTTAAACGGCATCAGGCCTGCCTTTGTAGCAGAGCTTCTAGGAGCCGTTTTTTCCGTCTTTGGAAAAGCCAGGCCTCGCAAAGCGTGGAATCAGAAAAAAGGTCAGGAGGAAGGTAAATTGTTTCCAGGTGCCCTGCAGTGTGTTGCAACACTGATACAGTCTCTGGTGGAAAGAAGTGTTCAGTTGTGGTTTATACAGGGAGCCTTCTGTTCACCTCTGCTTTTGGACTCCTCGCCTCCTTCAGCACTCTGACGTGTTAAAAATCAAAGCCAGTCTTATCAGTCTGGCTGAATCCCTCAAGTTTTGGCATGCGTACCATCTTTTTGTTTAGTTTTTTTACTGTGTGGCTTTCTTCTCTTGTATTTTGGATCGAGATTAACTGCATTCTTCCTGTTGCTTTGTCAGGCATTGGAAGCCATCAGTGAAGTGGGCGACCTCCTGCAGCTGAAATACTCAAGACGTGAGCAGCCTCTTCCCTCGCTTGGGTGGATGTCCGAGGAGAGTCTTCTTCAGGACTGAGCCTCGTCGCCCTCTTCTTGTCACACCGAGCGCGTTTTCCCAACTCACCGGCCCCTCCCTTAGCGTTTCTCGTCCGACATCCGTCTTATGCCCCCACGTATTTTTGTCTGAGCCAGTGTCTGCATTCATGTTATCCACATTTGTTCACATCAAACTCCAGTGGACTCAAAGCCAAAGTCCCAACAGCTTCACCGCGACCAAAATCAGCCACATGCGTCCGTGTCCGTTGTTGCAAAGTCCATTCAGAGCCTCCCAGTTTGTCCTAACCTCGCCTGCATCTGTCTAACATAAAGTCTTATTCTTGTGCGCACATTGAATGTGTATCTTATTTGTGCAATAACAGCAGCAGTGTGGTGTTTCTTTGTAATTCAAACTCAGAGCGAGGTAGAAGAAGCTCTGCCATGACTTCCTGCTCTTGCACTCTTGAAATCTGATCATAGCTCGTGCTATGATCGATAGGAAACGATCATATATGTAAATATTATTTATCACAATGTTGGTAATACTGCCTTAGGGTAGCATCCCAAACCTCAGCGAGAGATGCATTATTTCACGGGAATAAGCATGTGTATACTATATGTATTTATCTGCTTTTGTTTTGTTTTAATCCTAATCACTTTTACTTGAACAGAGAGATTATTGGGTTCTTTTACCCAACCAAAGGTTCTAAGTATATGTATAGATATGTTTTCTAGCCTTCCTGTTAAAATGCAAAGCAGATATTCCTAATTAAATCATTTAACAGGGAAAGAATTCCAGAGAGGAAGACAAAGGATTTTTTTTAACTGCATATTTTCTAGAAATATTTTTCAGCTTTATTTACTGTTTACACCTGCACTCAAAAACTTGAGCCTTGTGTCTTTAACATTTCTATAAGCTAATGAGCTACATGTGATTTCTATCTTGTTTGTTGCTTTCTCACCTGCTGAACTCGTTCTCACTCAAGTGCTTTCATGAGAATCGCCAATCCGAGCACGACAGCACGCTGTATGCATGACGATGTAGGGCTCATCTGATATACAGACAACTTTATTTATTTAACATGTGTTTGTCGGCCGTTAGCGATCTCTTATTTGCGGAAACCATTATCTGAGTGGAAAGTGTGTTTCAACTCGACTACATGTCTTAACTTCAGTGCAGCACTACTGACGGGCGTTTATATGTCCAGATGACGTAGTCACTGAAAACCTGTAAGGTTTGTTTGGTCCAAATGTCATTGGGGTTTTCTTTTTGGTTTTTTCCTTCCCCCACTTTATCATTCACCAGATGTTATCATCCTCTGGAATGACATTCCATATCAACCTGCTTTTTGTGACGCATTTGTTTCTTTTTGCTTTGTTTTGGTCCGACATTACTGTGTAAGGTCACCCCAAACATGTGGCTTTACAAGCCACTGTCAAACATTGTTCATCTGAGTGTGTGTTGTTTTTGTTTTGTTTTTTTAAATGTTCCATCACTTTATTGATGTGAGCTGCAGTGTCAGTGTAGCCAGGAAGAAACCTGGCCAGCGTCTGGCCAATTCCCGCAAACACTCGATGAAACACAAGATGTGTGTGTGTCTAATGTTTTGGGCATTTCAGCACAGCATGACTGCTATTTGCTGGTCTTTTAAACTGTACATCCATCATACATTAGTCACTTTTTTTTTTTTTTGGTCTGTATCATTCCAGTACTGTGTTCACAAAAAATAGTTTGACTAACAAATCGGTGATGCATTTGCTGTTAACAAGCAATAAAATGTGGAACACTTCATTATGATCTGTATGCACCCTGACATAAAACTCAGTTTCCTGCAGGGCCGTGCAGTATGTTAAGTCTTCACATTTCTGTCCATGAAGGCAAAAAAAATGTAATTGCAAACAGCAACACGGCTGTTTTTCTCAGCCTGGTTTCCCCTCACTGAAACTGCAGGTTTAATGTCTGCAGAAATGATTCAAATGCAGAGCTGCTTACAATACCTGTAAACTTGCTTGCAGTGACCAGTGGAAACTTATGTTGCTTTTGCCTTTTGGCACCGTATTTGGGTTGGAGATAAACCACTTAAAGGAGTTTATAAAGCCATGATGTTTGTTGACCGTGCTGTTGGAAACGGTGCTGCAAAGATTAAATCACTTTCTTTGTATCAACTTCTAGAAAGACGTTGTGTTTATTTACCACAAACACGCACACACACAGACTGCAGACACAGCTCACGAACAATACGTTACAAAGCCTTCTTGCCTTACAAGTCAGCATTCCTTACAGTCCAGTCATTGGCTGCCCTTTAACCTACTTTTAAAGCAGTGACACAAATTTAAATTGATTAAAAAATTTTACAGAGCTAAAGCTGAATAATTCACTTAAGTGTTGTCAAGCTCATCTTACATTCAAGGGTCATGCTTTGATCTTAAGTAAGGAGGACAAGTAAGAATACCCTTTGTCGGCATAAAGATGTGTAACTTCACATTTTATCTCTGAGATATCTCATTATTAGGACAAAAAGTGCAGTTTCAACTACATCTCAGTTTACCTATATAAAGATGTAGTACATGAAAGAAATCTGTCACTTTGGGCTTAAATTTGTAAGAAATGTGTAAAATTACAGAGAAGTCTGTGACCTCACTGCCCAGACTGTCCTGTAATTATAATTTCCTATTTTTGTTTATTTTACCATGGACACAGTGAAACTAGACATTTCTATGGTATCATTTAATTGCTTATCTGTTACTTCATCATTGTAGTATTAATGTCTGTGTCTTTATCAGGAGGATAAGCTGTAACATTTATGAAAATACAAAAAAAACCAATTGCCATTGGTATTCGAGATTGAAGATAATCTCTAACTTGTCCCAGTAACACGTGAGAGCATGTCCGCCTTGTGGCTGTCTGCAACGCAAACTAAACCTTACCATGTACCTCAGTGCCCAGCGCACCCACCCTCCGCACAGCTGTGAGCAATGAGCATCCTGCCCCCTCCTCCCTCAGCATCAACCCCCCCTGAATGCGTGCGTAAAAGGAAAGTTTACCGAAACCGGTTGGCTGGGCGGTGCGCGCGCACACCCTCTCCAGAGCCGGTGGATGAACTTCAGCTGGATAATGGATGAACGCATCAGACAGACAGCTAGCAAAATGCACAGCGTACTATGAACTCCAGATGTCAATGTATTGGAAGTGAGCACCCGCCCACGACGAGTGAGTCACACTCTGAAGTAGCTGAATAAGTGAGCGACAGTGCGAACGGGGAGTTTCTGCGTGGGGTATTTAACTTCTTTCTGGTACTTAAAGCTCCTCCGTCCCGCGGTGTTTATGGAGAAGCGCAGCATCGAGCTCGAGCCGCCACACGGACTGACAGTTGCTGCGCGAGGCGCTGGTGTCAGGAATGGATAGCGCGCGGGATACCTGCGGACGCTCGTGCGCATCTTATTAAAGTTGCGACACTTCTTGATAGACGAGGCTGAAAACTTTTATTTGTCCTGAGCCAAAAGTCGGAGAGAAGAAAACACGAAAAGGACACGAGCGCTTTTTGTGTTGTTGTTGTAAAGCTGTAATCTAACCTAAAACACACAGTGCACAGTGAAGCACTTTTACCGCCTTTAAGCTTCACGGGAAGCTTTGAAGTGGAGAAGATGAGTCAAGAGGTCCCGAGAAGATTTCAGATGCTGGTTGTGCTCTGGTCAATACTTCTTGTGAGTGTGGTGACAGGGTTACCGACCAGACGCAAGAATATTGCCCACAAAGTAAGTTCTCTTCTCCATTTTTTCCTTTTTCTTTTCCCTTTCTGTGTGTTGGCTTTTTTGTGGCGTAGAGTTTAGCAACAAGTTCGAAAAAGCCACAAATCACACTTGCCACTGACAGGCAATTAGCTAATGCTTTGAAGTTTTTGCTGATGGTTGTAAAATGTCTCCTGAGTCCTGTTCCTTTTATTACTACAATAGCTTGTAAAATTGTACCAACATAATTTTAAAACTAAAGCACAATAAAATATCAGAAAGTTAGTGCTTAGCTTTAATTTCCCATTCAGCCTCTTGGTAATATTTGCTTGGTGCAAATTATTTAAGTTATTCACTTTGTTTGCAACATTTAAAACTTATGTTGTGCATTTGTTTGTAATTTTGTTTGCTGAAACTTAAAAATCACAAACACCTTAATGAAATGTGCTCACCCTCTTTTTCCAGGCATTCTTTAATCAACTAAAGAATTTCCACATTAGAAATTTGTTGCCTTCTTTTGTTCCACTGCTCTCTCCATGTATAGTAAGGTTTGCCATCTCTGGGCATTCACTCTGCTAAATCCAAACTCTCTGCACACACACTGTGCGGTGTGTCAAAGGGGAATGTTTGTGTTACACATGGACATATTTGGATATCAAAGTCCACTTGTGTGTGTTTGTGTCAGGGTTCAGTTTTTGCCTTTGAACTCTCTCCTTCTTGTGTGGCCTCCCATGGATGCCCTATTGGGACTTTCTCTCTCTCTCATCATCTGCCTGATTGATGTCAAAGCAAAAAGACACAAGGAAGGACTCATTAGTGACAAGAAGAAAATAAAAATATTACTGTGGCTGCTGTGACTGCTCATTTCATTCACCAAAAAGCCAAATGTTGGCGACTCTCTCCGCCTGTGACCCCCCTGCATGTGTGAGTGGTGGATGAAGAGGGGAGATTAGCAGAGGAAGACTGCGGGAGGAGGAGGACAAGCTCAGTATGGGTTAGGGTGCCCAGTAAGAAGATGCTTATGTAACCAGAGAAAGGATAGCCTTAGGCATCTCTCACACTGGAGCTCAGGTCAAGTGTCATTCATCTGATTGTTTACGTTGGCTCTTTTTTGTGTTAATGTGGAATTTCCTGTTTTTGCCTTTACCCCCATGCCTCGGTGGAGAATAGAGGGAGGGGCGTTGTGTTGAAGTGGCCTCTTTTCCAGATACTGGGACCTGTTTGCCCTCTTCTGCTTTGTACCCCCACTACACATACCAACTTCCACTACCTCACCCTGATTCCACCAGGCATGCATTTGTTGTCCTCTTTCCATTTACACAAAGATGGTGATCAAAGAGAGTCCATAGTTTATTGTTCTTCTGTAATGGTTTGGAAACAGCCAAGTGCAGGACCCTTTGATATCTGCGGGCGCATAAATCAGGGCTGCCATACTGCATACCCCCCTCCCCCAAACCCCAACCGGATCTTGTCCCTACCCCTCTACTCTGGCTCACCCCATCCAGTCTCCGGACCTCCTCTCCCTAACCTAAATGTGTGTCAGCAGCAGTAGCAGTGACAGTAGCCCAACATTCAGTCTTTCACTTAAAAGCAGGACACTGCGGTTTGCCAAAAGGGTGTATTGTCAGGCTGTTTCGAGAAGAAAATCCAGTCCCCAGGCCAGAGCCAAGTACCCCCGGTGCATCATGCAGTGTCCCTGTTAAAACGCACTGCATGCCATCAGCCATGATGCCTTTGATCAGAGGAGCCCCACTACCAAGAGGAGGAGATCACGATCAGAGAGAATGAGGGGGAGGACGAAAGGAGGAGGAGAGTGATATACAGGGCGAAAGAATACAGGATCCAGATGTGTAACAGGACGAGATGAGGAGGGTGTGAAAGTATGCGGTCTCTTTCATGACTCTGGACTTGAGATTTTGTGTGTTTGGTTTGTGTAAGCCCGTTATGACCTGTATGGACTACGGTCAGGTACAGGGATAAACGCAGCAACGTGGTGGTGAATTTTTACCAGTGAAATCTTATATCAGACATGAGATGTAATGTTGAAGATGGTGAATCATTAGATCTGTGTGTGGGGGGTGTTGCGTGGTGGTGGAGGGCAAGTTGGCGGTCTTCTTTGGCTGATTATGTATTGTAAAGTATAAAATGTTCAGTAAAAATTGTGAAAAATCACATTAAATGTTCATCTAAAAATTCTAAAATCCAGTAAACATAACTGTTTTACATTAGCAATATAAACACAACTATAATGTTACTAACCGCTACTTATATTCTTACAATTAATGTTAAAATTCTTGCTAAAAAATGCTATTTTCAGTCAACTTTTGGTGTCATTTCTTGTAAGAAAAGTGGCAAATAGTGCAAAGAAAACACCTAAATGTATCCAGAAAAAAGTATCTGTTTGTCACCACCAGCTTACACATATTTGAGGAGGGCTCACCTTTATCCATCATTTATCATCCCCGACAGGCGCCGCCTCCTAACCAGCTTTATGTGTTCACATTCTTGGATTTGACTGACTACATAAGTTCTTTATGGGATGATCACAGGCGGTCCCTGAAAAGTCTGCCCTGTTCTCGAGGCCATAACCATAAATCACGAACTGACTGGTCATTCATTAAAGCGTTTCTTCTGCTCTTTAGCCCACCGACTGCCACTGTTGTGCTGAGCGTACCACAAACTGGCACAGGTCCAATCTGAAATTCTTGTCAAATCATATGTTTGGGCCAGTTAGCTCTTTCACAGGATGACAAAAACATGAACGAATGGCAGACAAGGGTTCATTAGGGGTTTTTGTTTTTTTCCTCTTTACCAGTGACTGTCATGAAACAGTCCTATTAGATTTAAAACAGACTAAGCAAAAAACAATCACATTTTAGAGACTACATTCTACATTTGGTGCATGTTTCCGCAACTACCCACTATTATAATGTCACCACTAATCACCATTAATCTCGGAGATCAGCGATTCTTCCTGCCGGCGTTCCTTCTTAGTAACTGTAAAACCTGAAAGGTCAAATTAAGCAGTGGCAGTAGCGGCGGCAGCACAGCAGGTTCAGACACACTCGCATCAGCCCAGGGGTCCCACGCCTCCCAGGCCCTCTCATTAAAGCTAAAAGCGGATCTCTCTCTGGCACAGGACCCTCTTTGTCCATGGCCTGGATGGCATGACTGTTGTGGGGAAAAAAAAAAAGAAAATGAACCGAAGGCTGGGTGATGACTTGGCTGGTTAGTGGATGCCCAGGGGCCTTTTGGAATTGCTTACCAAGCTGCAAATCGGTGGATGGTGTAAAGGCTTTCTTCCTGAAAACTGAACACTAATTGTTTTTAGACCCTTCAGTAAGCCACTATTAATAATAGATCTTTCTTTCTGCAACCAGCCCTTAAGCAGCAAACACTGGTGGTGTCTGCAAACTTTGTCACCTTGCAAGCAGAATCGCACCTTAAGAGTTTTTCTGTCAAGAGTTCTCTTGGTTAGTTTCTTAAATTATTCCAGTAGATAACTTGTGCTCACTGTAACCTGCATTTACCTGTTCTTTCCGTCAGGCTCATGGCCAGTCAATTCATAGCGGTGGTGTCCAGTTTGCCTCTGAGGCTTTGGAGCAGCAGAACCAGGTTCAGAGTCTGCTGCCTGAGCCCCACAGCCACCAGAGGAGGTGGTCTCACCCCCAGCACCGCTCCCTTGGTGTTCTTCCACAACCTGAGCCTGAGGAGGAGACCAAACCTTTTATACTGGATCTGAAGAACTTTCCAGACCTGGCCAAAGCTGACATTAACTCACAGAACCCCAACATACAGGTTAGTAGGGACAAGGGAGTCAAGTGATATTACCTCTATG